GCTTTGTTCTTAGTAGAATCCCAATAAATCGTTTTTAAATATTTGGTTACCATTGAGAAGAAATCAAAAATTTTGTTCCAACTAGACTCTCATAAAGTTTTGATTTAAAAGTTATTTGCAGTTAGTAAATTTGAAATGGACTAATAATTTTGGTAAATATTTATTTACAAATTTTCATATCCAGGAGTTGATTATATGTAACAGGGAACATATTTAAAATTGATCATTATACTGCAGATGTATTGAAACTACTTCTTTGATTGGAATTATTAATTAGTTATCTAGGTCTTTGGGAAAGATAAGCACAGAAACCTCTGTTGATTAGGTTACCAACAGAAATTCAGACTTTGATCAACACTTAGAATTCTTAGAATAAAGAAAATTCTTTAAGTTCTGGGGTACATGTGCAAAACATGCAGGTTTACATAAGTATACAGGTGCCATGGTGGTTGGCTGCAACCATTCCCCCCATCATCGACATTAGATATTTCTACTAATGTTAACCCTCCCCAAGTCCCCCACACCCTGCTATCCCTTCCCTAGCCCCCAACCCCCAGACAAGCCCTGGTTTGCGATGTTCCCATCCCTGTGTCCCCTTGTTCTCACTGTTGAATACTCACTTATGAGTGAGAACATGCAGTGTTTTGTTTTCTGTTCTTGTGTCACTTTGCCGAGAATGATTTTCAGCTTCATCCATGTCCCTGCAAAGGACATTAACTCATCCATTTTTATGGCTGAGTAGTATTCCATGGTGAATATGTACCCATTTTCTTTATCCAGTCTATCATCGATGGGCATTTGGGTTGGTTGCGAGTCTTTGCTATTGTGAACAGTGCTGCAATAAACAGATGTGTGCATGTTTCTTTGTAATTGAATGTTTTATAAACTTTTGGGTATATGCCCAGTAATGGGATTGCTGGGTCAAATGGTATTTTTAGTTCTAGAACCTTGAGAAATCACCACACTGTCTTCCACAATGGTTGAACTAATTTACACTCCCACCAACAGTGTCAGAGTGTTCCTATTTCTCCACATCCTCTCCAGCATCTGTTGTCTCCTGATTTTTCTAATGATCACCATTCTAACTGGTGTGAGATGGCATCTCAATATGGTTTTGATTCGCATTTCTCTCATGACCAGTGATGACAAGGTTTTTTATACGTTTGCTATCTGCATAAATGTCTTCTTTTCAAGAGTCTGTCCCTATCCTTCACCCACTTTTTGATGGTTTTTTTTTTTTCTTGTAAATGTGTTTATTTGTAGATTCTGGATATTAGCCCTTTGTCAGATGGGTAGATTGCAAAAATTTTTTCCCATTCTGTTGATTGCACTTTAATGATTATTTTGCTGTGCAGAAGCTCTTAAGTTTAATTAGATCCCATTTGTCTATTTTGGCTTTTGTTGCTATTGCTTTTGGTGTTTTAGGCATGAAGTCCTTCCCCATGCCTATGTCCAGAATGGTATTGTCTAGGTTTTTTTCTAGGGATTTTATGGTGTTAGATCTTACATTTAAATCTTTAATCCATCTGCAGTATATTTTTGTATAAAGCATAAGGATTCAAGTTCACTGGCAACCAGTGACACAATCTACATATGGTCTTTCTAAGTTCAATCAGAAAAACAGAGTCGTTGCAGGCATGAAAAGAAAGTGGATATACGTTTGAATTAGGGCATCCATGATTGCAGGGGATCTAGTGGAATGAAGTTTGAAACATTGCTGCAGGCTAGTTAGAAAAGTGGAGAACTAGAACAGAGAGAAATTTATCTTGAAGGAAATGAGCCAAAACTTTTCCAAGTAAATATGTGGAAGAGTCTGCAAATTCTCTCCAAAGTGCCAAGTGGCTGCAACATGGAAAATTGAATCTAGTGGAGAGATCCTGATGCCATTGTCTCTGCACATCACCAACTTTAAAGAATAACGCCCTTTGCCTCCTTTCTACTTTCCAGGTTGATGACAGTGTCTGTCCTTGCAAATTTTAACCCTGAGTCACAAAAGAAAAGGATATTTGGAAATAGTTTCCCATGTTGAAAGGAAATTGCATTGGTGCTTCATTAATAACAGACAATTCTGAAATAAGCCCACAAATACAAAAACATAAAAATATATGTATTAGAAATTAGTAGTCGAAATAAATAGATGCTTACTGACTGTGTGAGATTATTGACTTCGAGTGATTATAATCATAGAGCTGATCAGGGAATTCTGTTTTGATAAATTAAAACAAGGATCTGTGACTTTAAAGGAGAGCATTTTTCTTATTTGCATGACTGTCTTAGTGAACTTTTCCATTCAAGTGTATGATATTGTATATGTTATACAGATAGATATTATAACATTATTTAGTAGGGGAAAAGATCATATGTCAAAATGATATCCTTCCAATTAACATTACTTGGAATATGGGGAAAATCCTAGATGGAGAAGAAGGACTGCATAGGATGTCAAGTGCAGATGGGCTAGGGCTTCCCTGGAGTTACTAGGAGTCTAAGACACTAATCTAGAGAGCTAAAGTAAATTCAAATCCATAAGGCTCAGCAACATTTGGTATTCAAGTGGCCTGGTCCTAGAGATTTGAGTGTGCTGAGATTTGCAGGAGACTATTTGAGTTGTGCTAGTTTTTGATCCCAGATAGATAAAGCTTTTAGTCCTAAAAAGATATTTTAGGCTTTAGAGGTGTTATAAAAAGAATGGTAAAATAAATAAATCAGTTCAGATGTATGGTTAAGAACTGCTTAAATCCAGGGGAAAAATATAATTCCATAGGAAAAAAAACAACCTTTAAGGAAGAATGAACAAATGCACTGAGAGTAATAAAAGAAAAGTAATTTAATTATTGTATCAAAACCCAGACTGCCCAATTCATACCTGGTTCATGAAACCCAACGCAGTGGTTGCACAGACTCATCCCAGAGTAGTAACTTAGTGTGAATAAGTAAGAAGAGCCAAGGCTTCCTCCTCTGCCCTAGTTTTTCAAGCTGAAGACTTGACTATTTATGAAACCCAATATGAGAGAAGCAGGTGTCCATACTCCCAGTGTGAGATGAGGTTTTCCCCAATATATCTGTAGTGTTGGGTTTATAAGAGGAAGCTTGTCTTTTATTCATTTGGTGTTGAGACTGCCAGAAAAAATGCAACAAAGGACGTAAATCCATATTGCCTTATCTGAGGAGAAAGAGAGAAAAAGAAAGAAGCTGTCCTACAATGACAATGCAGACAAGGCTCCAAACACTTTCTTATTTTAAAAATTATGGTTCAAATATGAAAGTCAGTCAAAAGCATGTTAATTTTCAGAGGTATTAATATTTTCAAATGCATTAATCTTAGAATTCAACATTACAGAATTTTCTGACTCATGATTACCCCACAAATATTTGCTGAAAAAAATAAAAGACTATGGTTAGAAAAAAAAGGCATTATTCAGGAAAGTGTCAGTGGCATAGTAATAAAGACAACTACAGTTAAGAAACTGATTAAGATATGGTAATATGTATAAAGAATAATTTTAGTGTATATTATCTTTCTGTTTAGATATTAATACATTATATCTAACTTTATATGAGTATGTTCCTTTTTTAAAGTGAATTTGATTTTTGTAACATGATTTTTGAAAACATATATATCAAATTCTACAAAACCAGTTTTGTTGCCAAGACACCAGAGGTTTTGTGTTGGTGTTTTTGCTTGCCACACCGAAAGCCAATCACTGAGATGCTGAGTATTATCAGGAAAGAAGGCTTTCTTCAGGTGTTACAGTCAATGAGAACAGATTATTCTCAAATCCATCTCCCCTACCTACTAAAATTGAAGGCTTATATAGCGAGGGAGGAATGTAAAACAGGAATCAGGAGGAGTAAGGAAGCAATCATGATACATAAGAGGGTCTGATGTCTCATTTTCTGCACGAAGTGGTTTGTTGAGTTTCAGTCCCTTGTGTTATGGTCAGTTTCCTCCAGGAGGAACTGAGACTAAACGAATGTAAATTTCAAGTTTTAAAACCAGGTGGGCCAATTTCTGTGCATATTCAAAAACCCATTAATTTCTATGGAACAATTGGGTCAGTTTCTATTAGCCAATGAATAAATATTTCAAAAATTACATAATTATAATTGTTTTTATACTATCTCCTTTTGGATGGTAGGTTACATATTTATCCAGCCTGTACATTTTCTGCTAAGTGTATTTTTAAAGCTTGTTATTGCTGAGAAACTCATGGATAGATCTGGATTCCTAAGGGTGGATTCTTTATTTGGACCTTTTATATTGTCTTTGCACAGGGATAGGGTTATACATGTCTTCATGAAGTTGCTTCTACAGTTTGGAATGTCTTGCTAATAGAAAATACTGAAAGATTTACTGGCCACAGTTATTTTACTTCAAACATGGCAAGGAATTTGGTATCGGATTTGTTTCAAACATTTATTGTCTTCATTTACCTTGGTGAGGTGTAGTGGAAGCCAGACAATCCCCTTGAAACTCCACCTTTCTGCTCACAGAGATGTAAATTAGAACAAGCAGCTCATTGTCATGTACCCTTGATAAACTCTGATTATCTAAGGATGTCCTTATCATTCTAATACAATTCATGTATTGTCTTTTTGAATAATGGTGTAGACTACTATTGGGACTAAAAGTAAACTCAAATAATACCTGATCATTCAGAAACTTGCTATAGCAAATATTTTTTGTTTGGAGTTTAATTTATTGATAATTTTTTTTCTTATACTACTAAAAACAACATGTATAGAGCAATATATAATAATCCCTAACCTTGCAGATTAAAATAGTTGGCTCTTGCTATAAGGTACGTTTTTATTCAGCAAATATTTGGGGGGTAACTATGAGTCAAAAAGTGTTTAGATACTTGCTGGTGACAAAGAAGTAAACCAAACAGACAAAAATCTTCACTCTGCAAGTTTAAGTTTTAGTAAAAATTTTTGTTTAATTTCACTGGAGCATAGATCAGAGAAATGTAAATAGGCAATCCCAATATCCAGTTAACCTCCTCTTATCCATAACATCAGTGTTTCTGGACTAGGCCCTCTGAGAATAATTGTGCTCAATCCACAAGCTTCTGTGAAATAAGAGGAATGATATTGATCATCCATTTATTCCAGAACCCTCTAAAATCTACCCACAGTTTTCAAGTCTATTTTATTATGTATATGTAAAACACAGAAAATCTAATAACAGGCATTTCACCTGAACAAAGTGAATGTTTTTCAATATTTGCTTCACTTGAAAATATTGTAGATAAACCTCAACTCCTGTGGCTTTCTTAATCCCATTGCTATCTGCCCCTTGACAGATTTAACACTCTGTAGTAACTAGGTAATATCCGTCTCCTGAATTATTTTATAAGCTTAATATATAAAGCCTCCTTAACAAAGTCATTTGTCTACTCTGTATATCTGTACATACACAAACACAGACTTACATGTACATGTACATGTAAAACGTATTCATGCTGACACAAATAACTATTATTCATTCATTTATTTCATTTACATGAATATACAACAATATATATCTAATATTTTATAACAGTTAAGGTAATTTACGCATGTCTTCAGTTACACTAATCTTGAGATACATATTCTTAAATACAACACCCTGGCTGAATGTGTTAAATATTTTCACAGGGCATTTTGCTAGTAGATTTCCTTTCTTTTATGGTGTTCATATATTTCATTATGATATAATTTATCACAGTTTGTCACTAATTTTTTTCCATTTTTAACTATTTACATTCCAACTATCATACAGGTATATTTCATTTTCTCATATCCTTATTAATACATTAACATTAAAAAATTGTCATATTTATGAAATAGGACATTTTAGGTTAAATGTTATTACCTCTATTACCAGTGAGGTTGAACATCTTTTGATAATTTTATTGAATATTCAGTTTTCTTCAGCTCTGAATTGTCTGTCATATTCATTACCTAATGTACTATTATTTTACTTTTCTTTTTATATTTCTTCTTCTTTTTTTTTTTTTTTTTTTTATAGAGACGGGGTTTCACCCTGTTGGCCAGGCTGATCTTGAACTCCTGACCTCAGGTGATCCACCCACCTCGACCTCCCCAAGTGCTGGGATTACAGGCATGAGCCATCACGCCCAGCGTCTTTTGATACTTCTTTATTAGAGTTCTTTATATACTGCAAAAAAAATTACCAATTTCACTTAACCGTAGAGGTATCATTAGGGAAATCATGTCAAATGCATTCATACAGACTAATTTCTTAGTTACCACTGTTGAGAATTGTGGGCTTTGGTTCACATTTTTAATCAGTTGAATCAATAGTTTTTAATCCTGGTGTATATGACAATCACCTGGGGAGCTTTTAAAAATTACAATGTCCCCTTCTGTGATTTTGATTCAATCAATCTACAATAGGTCTTGAGCTGTACATGGCTTTAGACATTTCCCAGCTGTTTGCAATATGAAACATTGGTTGATAATCACTGGATTCGATGTGGTCAAGTCTTTCACTTATGCTGAAGAGAATGCATAAAAATTAGTGATACATGGTCATTTCTGCTTGGAGAAACAGTTCTGATTTACAGTTGTTACCTGCATTTCTGCCCCTCCTCCCAGTCCTTTCAGGTGTGTGAATTCCCCTTTGCTTTGCAGGACTTTGGCTTCCCAGTCAGCTCCTGCCCTTGACATGTTTTAATGCTCCTTTGAAAAACAATTCTTAAATAATCAGATTTCAAGTATTCCAATATTTTTAATATCTTACATATTATCTTTAATGTCATTACCTTTTTCAACTTCTCCCTTTGATCCTTTCCAATATATATATATATATATATATATTACATTATATGCACATAATGTGTACATATATATAAAACATAATTATATTACATATATGTAACAATTATATTTTATACACACACACACACACACAAACAAACATAAGGGCCATTTAAATCCCTGCACAGTTCTTTAAATAAGTGGGCTCTAATATCATGACACTTTCTGAACTGGATCCAGCCCTAAAGAAATCACCCACTCTGTTTTCTCCCAGATAAGAGGATTAGAATAAGACTCACCCAAATCCCATATTTTCATGTTAATCATTGTAACCAATGAAACAAAATCAACTGGGGTATTTCTACATCTCCAAACATGACTAAGTGATGCTATAAATTAATAATAATAATAATAATAATAATAATAAGGAATTCTTCTTCTTTCTTTCTTTCTTTCTTTTTTTTTTTTTTGAGATGAAGTCTCACTCTGCAGCCCAGGCTAGAGTGCAGTGGTGGGATTTCAGCTCACAGCAACCTCTGCCTGCTGGGTCCTTGTTCAAGCAATTCTCCTACTGCAGCCTCTCAAGTAGCTGGGATTACAGGCACAAGCCACCATGCCCAGGTAATTTTTGTATTTTTTAGTAGAGACAGGGTTTCACCATGTTGACCAGTCTGGTCTTGAACTCCTGACCTCTTGATCCACCCGCCTCCGCCTCCCAAAGTGCTGAGATTACAGGCGTGAGCCACTTCGCCCGGCCAATAAGAAATTCTTATGGATGAAAGAGTATTATATTGTTTATATGAAATGCTAGTCTTGAAAATCAGTTATATCTGATATTTTCAACCTTATATTGTTGTAAATGTCATGAGAATTACATGGAAAATTTCAGATTAGTATTTTAATAATAATTGTCATTACAAAATAATGGTCAGTGTCAACACACCTAACCTTCTATCTTTATAACTGTTAAAAAGGTGAAATGAAGCCACATTAAATTTTTAGCAGTTTATTTGGTCAACCAGTAATCCAAAAATCAGGCAGCTTCAAACCAGAACTTGTTTGGGACCTTGGAAGAAGAAGCCTAATTAATGGACAGCCTTTTTGATGCAAATGTGGAAAGTCGTGCAAAGAATATATTTGACTGGTTACAGTTATACAGTTGCCTCATGTGGTCTATCCCACTGGAAGTCCTTAGTTACAGAATTATAAATTTGTTGGCTACTTTTGATTGGATGAGTTTAAGGTTTGCTTTTTCGTAATATAGGCATTTATTTAAAGAAACTCAAGTTTCTTTTCTGTTTTCAAACCAAGCAAAGTTAAAGTCACGTATGAGGCCTAGCAACTTGTCTGCTGGGGGATTCTTTAGACCGGTCTCCATCTTCATTGACTTTCAAATTACTAATCCTGAGTTTATTGATCATCTGAACGAGAGCCACACAAACGTTGCCTCTATGCACCAATATATTTGTGCTTCTAAACTTCTGCTCTGGCTACCTCTCCCCTTCCAGGCTCACCGGGCTGCTTGTATAAATTATTGTGTGCCCATTTATATGTGTATGATCTTGCCTGTGTTATTTTTTTCTCAGTATGACAACTTTTTTCACACACATCTTATTTAATTTTCAAGGTTCAGCTCAAATCCAGAAATTCCCTCTTGAGGCCTCTATAAACATAATAAATGAAAGTCATCTTAATTCTCTGCAATCTTGCTTTGTTTTGCTTTTATACTTCTTAGATAGAATGGTACACGCTTGTAAATATCTCTGTGATTCTAATGTGAATAACACCATTAACTCAACATTGTCTTCACAGAACATAATATTTAATACCTTGGCAATAAGAATGTGCAACAAATATTTGCCTATTACATGAAATGGAATATAACTCCATCAAAAACATAGGATTAAAAAAATGTGGGATCCGGTATACACTTATTCAACCCTTATTTGGAGATAAGTTGATGCATATTTTTCTTGGTTTTGAAGAATAAATTACTGTATATTATCAGTTATTATAGTTATCAGAAATTCTATATTGGACAAATATATACATTTATTTAAGGAAAACAATAGGTATATATAGTTTCATAATGCTGCACGTATACAGATATTTTGAAATATGAGATTATACATCATACTACTTCCATGTAAATTTATTTTGTGGAATATTTCTGCCTTGAATAACATTAAAGTTAATTTTGAAAAATTTTATTAAATTAAATTTTATATAATTAGAATTATGAAAAGTGGCTATAACAAATATAAAAATAAAAACACGTCACTAGAGGTGGCATTATATTAATTCAAAGTATTGAGTAAGTTGAAATTGTTTAAAATGAAAATTGCCTTTTTATGAAACTGATCACTTAATACAATTGAGTCAGCATAAAATACATCAAATATATTTTCGCTTTAGATAAAAGGCACAAACAAATGGATTACACTAAAAAAGAGGTATTTGTTTGGAACCTTCATTGAAACAAATAGATTCTTAAATATTAATGAAAAGCTTTTAAATTCCACATGATTTCTTCTCTCCAGTAGCTCACAAATCACTGAGAGCTCTAATATAATATATATGCAAGTAGCCTCCTGAGTTATATCAGTGCTTGGCCATAAAGCTTAGTGCTCAGAAAAGATGCAACGACCTGTCATTTTTGTTTTTGTCCAGGGTAAGCCTATCAGTCATCTTGCCCACAGCACTGCTTCCAAAATCAACATCCAAAGGTCAGCAGCACTGGCATTGTAGAGGATTTGTAAAAACTCAACATCATGGGGCTTCTACAGACCTCTAGAACAAGAATCTGCACTTCAGTAAGATTCTCAGGTGATTTGTTTGGGCCTTAAAGTTCTAGAATCCCTTGTTACACAGCAACAAATTCTCTACCTTACTTTTAATTTTTCACCCAGATATCTAACCTCAATATTTAACTTTCCTTTGCTAAATCTTCTACTGACTGATAGTTCTGCTTTTCTACACCAAATTTATTCCTGTTTGTTACCACTTAGATCATTGTATTCATCATTTCTCTACCTTACTGTTGACTGCTTCTAGAGAATACTACTTTCCTTCCAGTTCTCTAACTCATTGCTGATTTTTTCACACCAACTCAGTGGTTTGTGGACCAAGCAATGGGTAGCACAATTTAGTGCTTGCTTTGTACATTGTTAATGCCTCCAAAGTTACTATTCTGCCCTCTCATGAACATATTTTTGCTTCTTGAAAACCCATAATGTAAAATAAAATCAGACCCCAATATTAGAGAACTAGCTTATGCAGGCCAATTGCCTACAAAGCCAATTGGCTGCTGTAGTTCAGAGAGCAGAATAGCTTAAGGGCATCTGTCAAATTTGTTTTACTTTATTTAAAATCTGCATTGGAACCTTCACTTCTGCTGCTTCTAAGGTCCAACTGAAATGGGGTCAATTCCAAGCTCTGATTTACTGGCTAAAGCCAAAGCAGTAGAAATAGTTCCACTAATTCTGCTTACAAGAAGACAAACACTTGCTTACCCAAATATGTAAGTCAAAACAAAACAAAACAAACATATAAATAAAGCTCAAAGGGCTTGCTTCATAACTGTTGCTAATTATTAGTATGCTAGGATTCATGCTAAATGAATTTTCTTTTTCATATTTTGAGAAACAGTCACATTTGAAAATTTCCTGTGTCATGAGGTCAGGAATATTGAACACAGTATATAATTGCCCAAGAGAGGCATATTAAAAATACTTCTCTTCTGTAGATTGGGATGTATCTTACGGGAGGTTTGGCCCCTCACTGAGAATTGTTACGTTATTTTATTATAGAGTTTCTTGAAAGTATTAGTCTGTTCTCACACTGCTATAAAGAAATACCTGAAACTGCAATTTATAAAGAAGAGAGGTTTAATCGTCTCACTAATCCACAGGCTGTACAGGAAGCATGGCTGGGGAGGACTCAGGAAACTTACAATCATGGTGGAAGGCAAAGGAGAAACAGGTGCATCTTACATGGCTGGAACAGGAGGGTCCGAGGGGAGGTGCCACACGCTTTTTAACAACCAGATCTTGTGAGAAGGCTATCACAAGAACAGCACCAAAACTGGAAATCTGCTCCCTTGGTCCAATCACTTCCCACCAGACCCTATGTTCAACATTGGGGATTACAATTTAACATGAGATTTGGGCAGGGACACTAATCCAAAACATATCAAGAATGTTGTATGATTAAGAATATTGGAGAAAGCTCAGTGAAAGTGGAGACAGATTTGTTTTTCTTCTTTTGAGACAGAGTCTAGCTCTGTTGCCAGACTAGAGTGCAGTGGCATGATCTCGGCTCACTGCAACCTCCGCCTCCCGGGTTCAAGTGAATCTTCTGCCTCAGCCTCCTGAGTAGCTGGGACTATAGGCATGCTCCACTCATGCTCAGCTAATTTTTGGATTTTAGTAGAGACGGGTTTCACCATATTGGTCAAGTTGGTCTAGAACTCTTGACTTCATGATCCGCCCACCTAGACTTCCCAAAAGTTCTGGGATTACAGGTGCAAACCACTGTGCCCAGCCCACAGATGTTTTTTAAATTGATTTTAATCTACATTAGTTCTCTACTTTAGATTGTGCTTAATCATATGGATAATATTTTAGTATTTCTTGTTAACATAATCTCTAGTGGTATCTCTTTGCCTTGAAGATAAATAAATAAAGATTCTTTTAATTTTTGCACTTTTGGAAAATGATTTATTGCATCCCAAATTTTAAAGGATATCACCTTTAAATGGACACAGAAAGACTTAAGATATTGGCATTCCCATTTACCATAGACAGAATATAGACAGAATGTAGACATTCTTAAAAATATATAGTCAGTTTCAAGTTGCACTTATTCTGCTCTTCTTTCAGTTCTGTGATCTACTGTATTAACTGACATTGCTTATGAAACAATATAAGCATATAAATAGTATTATCTGGATACACGATCTATCTATAGTATCCAAAAGGACATATTTCAAGGCAGGTGCAGTGCCAGGTCTTGAAACATAGCCCCCATGTGTAGAAATCTAGTGAGTTTGTCACTGGTTAGGCACATTGGATTTATTTATTTATTTATTTATTTTTGCCAATCAGTTTGAGCTTATAAGGTTGCTCAGGTTAGCCTTGAACTCATAACCTTGCCTTCGCAAGTGCCACGACACCCAGCGGGAGCCACTTTGGACCCCCTGGATTTATTTAGATTTATAACTCAACTTGTTCCAATATGCACAGTCAATGAAATCTGAAGTATTTCTTTGATATCTCAAGTTCAATTGATGAATAGTGTGCATTGATTTAACACATCAGGTTGGCAACTAGTGGAATTTAATCAATGGTCCAGTTCATATTCCTTCCAAATAAATTATAACACAAGAACAGAATACTAATACAATTTTGATATAAAATTACAAGAAAAGATCATTGTTATCCTCATATCAATAAAATTGTGTCTCATGGGCCAGGTAAGCTGGTGAAGAACATGGTGCATTAGCTAAATTCAAGATTGTATAGTGCTTGGCTGGGCCTGGGGTAAAATCTTTTCCAAGGTAAAATAATGCCTACTGTTTCTTTTGTAGCATTAAGAATATGTGATCTATATGCAAATAGTTCACTGTGAATTGATATATTTCATATGGTTATTTTATGGACCTATGATGTTAAAGGTATTAATTATGGTGGCACAAATCAACTATATTTTTGCCATTATTAAATAATTAAAATTAACTGACTGTATGATAAGAGATCAAGAACATATAACACCCTAAGACTTATTCTGGAACTATTTCTGTAAGTTGAATCAAAAATTCCATGTGAAAAGTTTTTATGTATGCATGTATGTATGTATGTATGTATTTATTTATTAGAGATGAATTCTCACTCATTGCCCATGCTGAAGTGTGGTGGTGCAATCATAGCTCACCACAGCCTCAAGCTCCAGGGCACCAGCAATCCTCACCCCTCAGCCTCCCATGTAGCTATGATTACAGCATGAGCCACCACACCTGATGACAAGTTGAATTTAAGAAATATAGAGAGAGTTACAATTAGGTTATTTTTCTTCCACATATTTACCTTGCTTGGTAGTTTTTCAAATTATTGGTGCAATATTGGAAAGTACTTTTGATGCTCTTAAAAGAGCTGGGATATTTGCCCAACTACAATGTATGGTGGTACAAGCATCAGATCTTAAATCTTGACAGGACCTATGGTTCATATATTCTGAACACTCACATTGCCAGTAGTAAAGCAGGAGTGTCTACAAAGTTTAGACAGACTCCTTCTGCCATAAAATTTAGACAGAAATGTAGATTCTGTAGTGCAGTCACCTTAAATACACCATCTCTTCTCAGACTTAATTTTATCAATCAACCAAATTTATGGTCGTTGACTTATATATCAGTCATAATTGTGTTAAGTGCTTTTGTTTTAGTCTCCATAGTTAAATAGTTTGGATCAAAGAGTTTGTAGCAAAATGCTTTTTAGATCCTTAGAAAATTTCTATTGTTAGCATGTTGACTCTGGTCTAAAATATTCATTATAGTCTGGACTCTTGGATAGGATGTAGATTAGGATCCTCATTAAGTAGACTTACCAGGGCTTTAAGATTACATTCAAAGTGTTATAGCAGAAGAATAATTGTCTCCTGAACATTGGTAATTAGATAAATGAAGGGATGAAATGATAATGAAATCTTTAATCTCTGGGTTAATATCAGTGGATAAATTCCCTGGATATAAAAGTTCATTTGTTTTAATCATTTCAACTGTTCCTTTGCATCTTCATACTTAGTGATGTAAGCATGAGTTCACTGGAATTCTAAGCATTAGTTCACTCAGACTGTTAAAAATCTGAAAATATGTGTGGGTTGGAGTTAAAATTAAGGTTGCAGTATGAGATAATGTGCTCTTATTGCAACCTCTGTGATTTACTGCCTATTGTTCAGATGTATGCCAAAGATGCTGAGATATTATCCAATACTTTGGCAAGGGTTGGTATTCTACTTTTTATATCTTGTTCTTTCCACTATCAAGGCATCATCCCCCCCAGGCAACTGCATGTGCGTTTTATTGAAGCAATTTAATTTTGCTCTCTTTGCAATTTGCTAGATGGAAATGTGGATTTACTAACTGTAAATTGATTATATATTTTTCTGTCTACGCTTTACAACAAACCTTATCACTCTGTATAAATTTTGTCCATGGCAGAGTTCAACCATTAGAAATTAAATGCTGCTTTTTTACTGGAAAAAAAAAAAAAGGTTACTAATATTTATTCCAAACTCACTTGACCAGTCAGGAAGTTTTCCTGTTGCCATAAAATTAGAAAGTCTTCTATAGGCATATTATGGGCAAAAGACTCTGGGCGGTAACTTATCTTCTATCCTGTGATTTCGAGTCCCTGCGCCTTCATTTCCCTTTTTCCTGATTTTCTCAAACTTCTCTACATTGACAGAAACTCAAGCCTTTTGTAAATGTTCTGTACTCAGAGATAAATTGAACAACAGCTATTTCAACTACTATAGTTTCTCTTTAAAAAATCCCAACACTGAGCCAAATTTCCAGGAGCCCATGACCTGATATTTAGATATGACTTTCTCTTATCTTTTTGAATGGCATAGCATTTCATTCCTCAGCATTGTAGATTTCCTGTCATAACCATGATTGTTGTGAAATTCCTGAACAACTTTTATATCAGCCCTGTCCAGTAGATCATGAGTGGTTATTTCATAAGGAGGTTGGCAGGATCCGTGAAGTACAAAATGTTTCC